TCAAGAGCCCAATTTGATTGATTTACTATCCGATAATATTCATCAATTAAAAATGATAAAAATAATACATAACGTTATTACATTTTAAAATTGCGTTTGACGAAGTTAATATTTTCAGGAATCAAGTGTCGAATTCTGATTTGTAAGTTTTCTGTGTATAATTGAACTATTGACTGTATAATACTCTTTCCTTTTTAACAAACTTTGAGATCAATAAGGTTCTAAAGATTAAATCATTATGTACTGAGGAAGACCTTGATCATAGATCGAAACTTATTAGTTTTAATAAATTATTATTATTATTACACACCAATATCCAGTGTCGGCTCTTATTGGCTTTTGCAAATTTATCTTTCCTTTTTAGTTATTAAATTTTTAGTTTTCTACCATTAATAAAATTTTTGAACTTATGTACATTTACATATGTTGATATAAAAGTAATTAATTATGTGTAATAATTTTTATACGTTGATAATAAATTTATCACACAAAAGATTTTATTTGCCTGTAATGTAAAGTGTATAAACATTCTAATATATTTTAAATCTTTTAATATATTTTAACAGTTATGTATATGTATATTGGCTTTAGATCTTTATTGTAGAAATTCGAAGTACTAATATATCTTGATTCTTCTTTTCTAGCAGAAAAATATTTGTGTACTTTAAAAGAAATTTCTGAGTTAAAAAGAATTAAATTTGTATCACTTATTTTGCATATATGGAGGAAAAATATTTTCATGCTTAAAAATATTTTACTTTTGTAAAAAAAATTGTGCTGCACATTGATTTATATATACAGAAAAATTATTTCTTTCAATTAAAATATTTCAACTATGTTAAAATATTGTTGTACAGCAGTGACTGTCTATATTGATACGTAACGGTAATACAATACATAAATTCACGTTTATAATCTGTACATTTGTTTATAACAAATTTTCAGTCGCAATTAAGGAAGAGTATATAATTTATAATGTGCTATTTTATTTTTTTTTTTGAAACGATACATTTTGTCTACATCAATCGCTTTATCTTATTACTGTTTATACGATTTAATATAGTGTAAGATTGTCACAATTTATATTAAGGTAACCAGACCCTATGGTCTACTTAAGCAAGTTTTTCTAATTTTTTACTGTGGCCAAAATTTGAGAAATATTTGTGAACATTAAAAAAAACATGAAAAGTTATTAAATATTTAAATATATAGTAAAAATTTTAGAAGATATTTGTGTAGGAGTACATAAGTATCAAATATTAACTTTTTATTTCTTTTATTTAATTTTTTATCGCATGTTATTAATGAAATGTCTAAACATAAATATTTATATATATAAATGTTGAAATGAAATATATTAATTTAAAAAGGTATTTATTGCATTATATAGTAATAAATCCTGTATTCAAAATATCTTATTTAAATATAAAATATTTAAACATGCGCTCTCTTTGTTCATATTCGAACTCGTTAATACACAGAAGATGAGAGATCTCGTTTACCTACAAAACGATTGCCTACAACTTTGTTTGCACACGTTCATTTTGTATAGACAACTATATTGCACTTAACGCATTATTCATACAACTCTAATGCACATAGCGCATTGCTTATATGATTATGTTGCGCACTGCACATTGCTCACTCGACCTTGTGATACACATGATCCTGACGCGTACGTGACTATTCGGTACGCATGCACATTGCAAACAAAGAAGGTACGATACCATATGGGCCTTGAAGTTTGACCGTGAAGCAAAGTTCTACAATGTATATGTTCTACAATGTATACACTCATGAACAGAAACGTAGCAACACTTTTATTTCGATGACTTTTGGAATACGCAAAAATTTTCAGAGTGCGATTCATCATCTATCGATGCGTGTGACGAGCGGTTATGACAGCTATCATACAGAATCAAAGTATACATGATGAAGTTAAAAGAAACATATCTTGTGCGCTGCGAAAAAATACCAATTGGGTATCGCAAAATTAGCGTAAGATTAAAAGAGTAAATTAGATAAATTTGTTTTGTAAATTTATTTACATTTTTTATGTGAGTTTAACATTAAAAATTAATACAAGGTAATATGTAATGAAATAATAATACGTAATAAAATTATATATTATTTAATAATTATATATATATGTATAATATATGTATATATATATGTATATAAAACATGTTCATATGTTTTTATTTGTCCATATGTTACAATTTTTGTTTCAATATACAAAAAAAATAATAAGAAGAGGTAATAATGATAGATAATATTATAAACAATATTAAGAATTTTTATTTTTTTTTTTTAGATCGCATATGTGAGAAATACAATCAATACTAGAAATTTAAAATGCCTATTATGGTCGAAGCTAGATCTTCATTGCTTTAAATAATTTAATCTTGAATTAATGTCATAAGCGCTCATCACACGCATCGATAGATGATGAATCGCACTCTGAAAATTTTTTAGTATTCCAAAAGTTATCGAAAAAAAAGTATCGCTACCTTTCTGTCCATGAGTGTACATGTATACAGTATGAAAACAGTATCACCATTTTAATTCAAATAACTTTTAGTCTTCTTCTGTAACAGGGAAATATCTATTTGTACTCTATGTTAAAAGATAAATCTATTTTTTCTAAACGTAACTATCATCTTTTTTTCATTAACTATATTTTTATTATGATAATATATTAATAAACATTTATTTTGTTATCGTGTAGAATTTATGACTGTAAAATAAGATACGGAGGCCTTTATTAACTGCAATTATAAACATATTTTTTTTATTATAACAGTATGTAAATGGATACTAAAATATCTTACAAACTATTACCGTGGCAAAACCCTCTATGGATGCATCAAATACCCCACCGAGATTTAAAGAAAATTTCTTGGCTCTTCTTTGCAGTAGAAATAGTATCATTCTTTGTATATGTAATGGGCTTGTATACCACTGAATGTTGTACCTACAGAATTGAATATAGAAATAGTAGATTGCTTATACTTCAGATTGCACTTCTTAATTAACTAATTTTGACATATTCTGATTTAAATGCCATAGATTAATTTCTATATCTATTGTTGTAACAAATGCAAAAGCAACAATTGCAGATACTCCCATACAAAAATATTTTTCTTACGCAGTAACAAATACGTGATTATTGTGGTCAATTATCTCCTGTCCAAAATAGTTGCCTAAAAACATGTATAAGATGCTTGCGGATACAAAGAAAAATGATAATAAAAATTCGTTGACATTATTTTTATTGTTTTCAGATGATGCTATCTGGAAAAGCTAAGAAACAGATTTTACATAGCAAATATCAATCTTCTACATATGTATTTATATTATAACTATCAATCTATAACGGACAAATTTTACTCATTCCTACAATTGAGATTTTTTACACGTCGATTGCTTATATATACTTTTGCGCACAAGTAAAAATTTCAGAAACGAAGTTACATTTGCTTACACGTTATTATATTATTGCCTACATATATTACTACCTACACATGAATTATTACCTATACAGTTCAATTGCGTGTAAGCACTTTACGCACAAATAAAGAAGAGACGAAATTGCTTATATGTATGACTGTCTACAGATCGATTGCCTATACAAGTTTTATATTTTTAAATTTTGTATTTTTAAAGCTGAGAATTTGTGTTTTAAAGCATAAAATTTGTTTTAAAACATAGAATTTGTATGTTGAAACAGAAAATTTATGTTTGAAAACAGAATTTGTGTTTTTTTTAAAATAGAGAATATATGTAAGCAAACGAGCTATAGACAATAATACATGTAGGCAAATGTGACTTTGTCTCTGAAATTTTTACTTGTACACAAAAGTGTAGAATGTAGGCAATCGAGCTGTAGGTAATAATTTTTGTGCGTAAACGAACTATCGGCAAGTATGATACAGGCAAACGATGCTGTAGACAATTGATTTGTAATATTCTTTATTATGTTTGACAAATAACATTCTACAAATTTGCATTATAATGATGTGTACCTACAATGTTACTATGTTTTATAATCGAATATATTTGGTTATGTTTAACGTTATTTTTCTTCTTATAGCATTTACAAATATATCTATACAATATATCTATATCAATATATCTATGTGTAATTTTATGTGTTATCTATGTGTAATATATATCAATATATTAATATATCAATATATCAACATATCTATGTGTAATTTTGTATTCATCGTTTACATATTATTTAGTGGCTTTTGTTTAGATTTTACATGTGGCATTGATTTGTTACTTTTATTATTAATACATAACATAATGATGCAACTTTCATATATTATTACATGAAACCGTTAACTTACTTGAAACATATTAAAACTAAAACAGACTGCTAGACATCCCGTGATACAAGACATCATTATTTCGAATGCGGTCATGTAATTCTTCGACAATCTTAAAAACAAAGATATTATTACATATTAGTTAATATATCGTACGATGTGAACAACACAGATACATACTTCATAGCATGACGATGAATGTCTACGGCACAAATTATACCTTCAATCATCAAAATTTTATTTTTTATCGTAATATTTTGTGGAATATCAATATTTAATGCGTGCTTAATACGATAGCTGCAAATGTTTTTTTAATAATAATTTATCCAGTAATACAATTTTTTTGTTAAAACACTTCTACACTAACTTCTTTTAAGTTAATGCACTGTGTATAAAGATAAATTTTAATAAAATTCTTGTGTTGTATGGAACTCCGCACCGGTTACCTCAATCTTAACGCATGTTGTCAAAAATATTCTGCTAATTAACAATCAAAACAGTCAAACGGTTTTAGCCTTCGCTCATTCTTCATTAAAATGTTATTAACAAAAAAGTTTTATAAATAGAACATAGTTTATTGACATCATCTATATTTGAGAAGTAGGGTAAGGTTGCCGATATCGCACCGGCTCCTAGATCGCACTACCTCGCCTAAAAAATCAG